TTTTTGGTGTACCCAACCAGAACTCTATAAACTAAAATTTTAAAAACTAACATAATTCAGAGGTTTTATACCTTGGCTAACCCATAACCAAAAACTTAGAGATTTTTATATTTTGGATAACCTGTAATCAAAAACTCACAACCACAATTCTATCCTTGGCTAATCTATAGCCAAACTTTACTTTTGCGTAGGTCTTATTCCTCACCAGACCAGGCTTTATCATTATGCCCTACAACTACCTACTTAAATTAAAATTCTCTTGCTAAAATCAAACTTTAAACTAAAACTTCACTAAATTACTAACGCTAATAAAAACTAAAACTAAAATTCTAAAAACTATAAACTTAAAAAAAAAAAACTTCAATTTGCTAAAAAAAACTATCAATTCTAAACTAAAAAAAAAAACTAAAACATTGACTTCAGATTTTTTTTAAAATTTTTTTTTTTTTTATTTATTTTATTACTACTCAACTTCACATCAGAATTTCAGGCATAGCAGATAAGTATTTTTCTTAATCTTACTTGTTATTATACTATCTTTACTAATTTATTTATTTTCTAGAGCTTCTCTTTTTTTCAGCATCATGTTATGAATTTTTTCGAGCTTTCAAGAGGATCAGGTAAGCTTTGGAATTCATTTTTGGGGCCAGATATGTATGTTCATTTTTTCACTTCGTCTTTTCTCTCATGTGATGTCACCTATGTGATTGCTATATTTACTTATTCGTTGCTTGATCATCCACTGATTAGATTTCTTGCTTTGTCTTTTGGTCTGTCCTTTGATCTACGTGTAGAAACCGACATTATTACTTATACTAAGGGTGATTTGGTAAGTATCTTTGTTTCTCTTTTTCTTTTTTTTTCTTCTCTTTCTTCCCATTTACTGATCCTATTTCTTTATTTTTTTGGAGATCGTTTCAGGTGGGTTTAAAAAATGTTAGGAAGTTCTTTTTGTCACTATACTTTAACTATAATATAAGGTGACCCTAACTTTAAAGTTAATTCAATATATATATATATTATAAGAATCTACTCCACTTTAGTCATAATCCTTTTCAGAATCTTTGTGCTGTTGGAAATTTCTACCAGAGCACCTTCTTCTTGGATCTTAATGAGAGAAGTATTTTTATTTCTATTTTCTTTTTCTTTCTCTTCTTTCTTCCCTTATTTACTGATCTTCTTTTTAGTCTTCCGGATCTTTGTGCTTCTTTCAGAATTGGAACTTGCAAGAGCAGATTGCTTGAAGGATAGGATATAGAATTTCACCTGAACTGGGACTTGGGTATGGGACTGCGGCTTGAATTGGAAATCTGGGACTTAGATAGTACCGAAAGATAAGTAATATCTTTATTTATTTTTATATTTATTTTTTTTTTAGTCTTGGGTGGGTTACTAATTCTTCTTTTTCTTTTAGGTTCATTCTACCAAAACTAGAACTTGAGAGCACAGGTCTTCTTAGAGTATAGAATGTAAATCTTCCGGATGTATAATTCATATCATTGGTTCTTGGGACGCTGGAATTTTAGATAAGTGGATCTTTTTTCTTTCATTTCTTTAATTTTTTTTTTAGTCTTGGGTGGGTTACTAATTCTTCTTTTTCTTTTAGGTTCATTCTACCAAAACTAGAACTTGAGAGCACAGGTCTTCTTAGAGTATAGAATGTAAATCTTCCGGATGTATAATTCATATCATTGGTTCTTGGGACGCTGGAATTTTAGATAAGTGGATCTTTTTTCTTTCATTTCTTTAATTTTTTTTTTTTTTTTTTTTTTTAAATGGGTGTTGTACTGATTATTTT